GGAGAAGGCAGCAGAGAGAAGTGGTAGCCAGCCTGCTCTGCCCCAACTTGCCCTGCTCCTGGCCTCCTGTGCCTCCTCACTCCTTCCCAAACACACTTGCAGCCACAGTCCTGCACCAGCAGCTAACCTTTCCTTCCTGAGGACAGCAAGCGGGCTCCAGAGCTGGGGGTCCACCGGGCTATTCTCACCTGTGCAGGAGTGGGCTGTCCTGATGAGCAGGGCAGAGGGTGGAATCTGGGGTGGGCAGGTGTAGGGAGCAGCTCTCCTGAGAGGAGGAGACTGCCTTAGGAGCCCCCTTCCTGCCACCACCAGCCACAGGCGCTCAAGGAGCCCCTTCCCTCTCACTCTAGCCCCCCTTTCCTGCTTCACTCTCCATGGGGTCATGTTCTAGTCCCAGAGTCTTAAGGCGCATGCACTGCTTCCTGAGCCAGTTGGATGCTAATGGTCTGAGCTGCAGGCCTTTTCCAGCCTGGAGTTCCAGCCCCCTGTCCTCCCTCTCCCAGGCCAACATCGGGCACATGGACACACCCAAGGAGCTCTGGCGGATGATCACTGGGAACATGGCCCTCATTCAGGTAAGACAGCAGGAACCAGAGAGACTGGGCTGGGCATCCTCCTTGGTCAGGAATGAAAAGCTTGGGCAGCCCCAGCTGGGCCCCGAGTGAAGTTCCGGCGTCCTGCCGAGCTGGCTTCTCCGAAAGCAGCTTTAGGAGGGAACCAGGTTTCCCAGGAAAGCAGCCAAGAAACTCGGCATCTCAGTGTCAGTTCTCGGCTCCCAGTGCTGCAGGGGGCTCATGTCCCCACAGATCAGACTCCGAACACCGGAGTGCTGAAATGTCCTTGACCGCCCTTGTCTCGTGTCCCCTTGAGGCCCAAGCCTCGTCTCTGGGCTGAAGTCCTAGGCGCCATTGAACCTCACCCCAATCCCCAGAGGAACACTCATTCCACCAGTAACATATCCTGGACTCCTGCGGGGTGCACTGCACAGTACTAGTGTCTGGTGTGAAACTAAACAAATAAAGACATCATTCCCGCTTGGGAGGACTGGACGGTCCCGCCCCACCTACCTCCTGGGCTGCAGAGGGCCAGGACAAGGTCTCCGCTAAGAAGCTCTCTGCTCCCAGTGCTCCCCAGTTACCACTCCCCCCTCAGGTGCAAGCCACAGTGGTGGGCTTCCTGGCGTCCATTGCAGCTGTCGTCTTTGGCTGGATCCCTGACGGCCACTTCAGCATCCCGCATGCCTTTCTGCTGTGTGCCAGCAGTGTGGCCACAGCCTTCATTGCCTCCCTGGTACTAGGTAAGGAGGGAAGGGAAGAGGAGGAGGGTGCGAGGGGAAGGGAGTAGGGAGAGCTGCCCCAGAGGTGTCACCTGGGCCTGGCACCTCCAGTCTCTCTTTGTGTTGCTAACCCCTCTACCTCTTCTTACCCTTCCTGGCTCCTCTCCTTCCTCCCCAGGTATGATCATGATTGGGGTCATCATTGGCTCTCGAAAGATTGGAATCAACCCAGACAACGTGGCCACTCCCATTGCTGCCAGCCTGGGGGACCTCATTACCTTGGCACTGCTTTCAGGCATCAGCTGGGGACTCTACCTGGAGCTGGGTGAGGATGAGGCTACCGAGGGTGTGAGCCGGGTGGCCTCCTGGGTGGGGTTGGGAGAGATGGTTAGTGTATATGCAAATGTGCAAGCATTTCTTCTGTGTTCTTTATTTGATTGGAATACAGTTGTAATAACTCCCCACCTTAGAGAATTGAAGTTAAGTGCTTATCTCAAGTTCATGCAGGTAGCAGGGGCAGGATAGAGAGTATCAGAGAAATATGTATATTCCTGCTGGATTATTGCTTCCCTTGGAGAGGGGTAAGGTGTACAGGGTAAAGGAAGGGAACGGAAAGCTGGAATCTGCTTGCAAAATGGAGAAGGGGAGG